CTGTGTGTGTGTGTGTGTGTGTGTGTGTGTGTTTGTGTGTGTTTTCTCCTGCACTTTAAAGATGTGACTCCACTGACTTGTGACTTGCATAGTTTCTGATGGGAAGTCTGTAGTTTCCTATCTGTATCCACTGCTGAACTTCCATGATGTTGTTGTTGCTGCTGCTGGTTGGTTCTGATTCATAGTGATCCTTTGTACAAATGGTCCTGCACCATCTTCACAATTGTCTTTTACTTAACACTTTTGTAGACATATAATTCACCTGTCATTACAATTCACTGGTTTAAATGTAGGAAGGAGAGTTGTGTATCCATTACCACAATCAATCTTAGAACATTTTGTTTATTCTTTTTTTTTTCATTTTGTTTATTCTTGTATCCATTATTACTAGCTCCTCATTTCCTTCCAATCTTCCCTGTCACAACCCTAAGAAACTATCTAGTCGTTGTCTCTATTGATTTACTTCTCCGGAGTTTTATATAAAGAAAATCACTCCAAAACCAAAATAATTCTCAACAGTAATAGAATAAAACACAGAAAAAAATCTCAATCCAAAAGATAACAGAAAGCGATAAAAACTAAAACAAATTAAAAATGGGTCAAAATGGGAAACAAATGTAAGCTGTTAAGTTTTAACCTTACTCTATCTGCAATAATCTACTTTCCAATGTACTCTTCCGGAGGACAAGACCATTTACACAGGTGCTCAGGATTTAAGCTAATGCGGCCTCCCTCTGATCTTGGATTTTATTGTTAAGAATTCTTTGCTCATATTGGCTGGTGTGCTTCTTCTTTGCAAACTTAGCGTTTTCTCTGGAGATGGTTTGACCTCATAGTACTCAGGCGGACCCCTTCGGTGGTCTCTGTTGCATGCCCTGTATGGTCAGCAAACACTCTCGTGATTGGAACCGAAATGCTTCCCTGCGTGGGGCGATGCTGGGAATTGACCAGCCTAGAGTTTCTTTTTGCATCGTTTTGTGGCACTTCACCCTGCTCTTTTTGCCATAGCTCACTTCTTTCTGGAACTTTTCTGTGCAATGCTTAGCTACCTGAACTTCCTTGAATTCCTGTCTCTATCTCCTCATCTCAGTGAGATCACCATGCTTTGCTGAGGATTCCCCTCCCTGCAGTGAACTCTGGAATGTTCCTGCAGGCGGGAAACCAGAGAAATTATAAAGCTCATCTTGTTTGTTTCCCTTCTCTAGGGATACTTGTTGCCCAATATCTGAAAATAATGATGTATTTTGAAATACGGATTTCTTGTTTATGGTGGGAGGATAATGTTAGTTGCTTTATCACCATAGGAAACGGACCTCTTTCATTGACATTTTAATAGGGTTTGGAAAGGCTAAGAGCAGTTAAAGGCATGTGGTCATTTATATTTAACTAGATGTCTTAGATGCCTGAGATGTATTTAGCAAGCACATATGCCTTTAGTATACAAAAAGGCCTCGTGAGATAATGATGCTGCAATGATAAAATAATGATACGAATTAATTAAAATGTTAATGTGTAATATCCCATGAGCATGGATTTGAAGTGGTACCATGAATATATTCTTTCTGTCCTAACAGTGTATTTCTACAACTCTTTGCTATAGCCCAGGCATACTGTCATGATCTCAATGTGTGATCCTTCCTAAATGTGTGGCATGGGAATCCCTGGGGTGACTGCCTGAGGGACCCTCTTTGGCCAGGGCCAGGAGCCTCTCTGGACCACTCTCTCGCCCTAAACTAACTCTTTGCTGGGAAGTCCACTTAGAAATCCAGTCATGGACCTAGAGGGATAGGAGGAGCGGGCTCAGGCCCTCCTACCAGAGTTATTTTCTGCCCTGCCCTCCA